TGGAGAAAAAGAGGAAGACCCCCAATGAGATGGATGGGCCAGATGGCAGCATTGATGGACTCAAGTGTGGCAACAGTAGTGAGGTTGGCCCTGGATCGGACATTGTTTCATTCTGCTGTGCATAGGGTAGCTATGAATGGGTGCTGACTCAATAGCACCTAACAACAACAACAACTATCAGTTACTACCACTCTTCTGTCAGTTTGTCCTGCTGTGTGACTTGTGTGTTGCTGCGATGCTGGAAGCTATGCCACTTTTTGTTTATTTTAGATAGCATCAGATTCACCCATGATGGAGTGGTTTCAATAGAGCTTCTAGACTAACATACATTATAAATAAGTAGAGATAGACCACTTCTGAAAAATCTTATGAATAGCTGCGGAACATCGTCTGATATAATGCTAGAAGATGAGCATCTCAAGTCAGAAGGCACTCAAAATATGACTAGGGAAGAGATGTCTACTCAACATAGAGGTGACTTTAATGATATGGATGGAATATAGCTTTCAAGACTTTCATTTGCTCATGAGACACAACTCAGAATGGGAAGAAATAGCTACAATAATAAGAATGTAGAATATATGAAGTATGAGTTGGAAAATCAGAAGTCATCAAAATCTAAGTGGAATGCATAATGATAGATATCTTAGTCATTAGTGAGCTGAAATGGACTGGTATTGGCCATTTTGAGTTAAAAACATCATACAATTTACTATGCCAAGAATGACAAATTCAAAAGAAATGGCATCCCATTCATAGTCAGTACAATGCTGTCTCTAAAAGATGACAGCCATATGCCTATAAGGAAGACCAGTCAATAACACTATTATTCACATTTACACACCAACCACTATAGCAAATGATGAGGAAATTGAAGAATTCTACCGTCTTTTTCAGTCAAAATTGATGAAACATGCAAGCAAGATGCATTGATAATTACTAGAGAATGGAATGCAAAAGTTGGAAACAAAGAGGAAGAATCAGGAGTTGAAAAATATGGCCTTGGTGACAGAAACAATGCTAGAGATCACATGACAGAATTTCACAAGACCAATGAATTATTTGGAGTCCTGGTGTGGCGCTATGGGTTAATGTGCTGGCTTACAAAGTCGGTTTGAACAGCAAGGTTGGTGGTTTAAGCTCACCAGCCACTTCTTGAAAACCCTCTACTGGGTGCTATAGGTCAAAACTGACTCAATGGCACTTAACAACAACAATGACTTATTCATTGCAAATGCCTTTTTAAAACAATATAAATGGTGATTATACATATGTACCTCACCAGATCTAAGACACAGTAATCAAATTGACTACAGTAGGAAGAGATGATGGAGAAGCTCAATATCATCAGCCCAAACAAGGTCAGTGACTGACTGTAGAACAGACTATCAACTGCTCATATACAAACTCAGGCTGAAGTTTTAGAAAATTAAAACAAGTCCATGAGAGCCAAAATACCATCTGTAAAACTGATTTGACACACGAAACACTAATGACAGAAGACCAGAGTCACTGTAGGATGACATCAAGAATATCATACATGAGGAAAGCAAAAGGTCATTTAAAAGATAGTAAAGAAATAAAAGACCAAAGTGGATTTCAGAAGAGCCTCTGAAACTTACTCTTGAATGTAGAGAAGCTAAAGTGACTGGAAGAAATGATGAATTAATAGAGCTGAATAGAAAATTTCTAAGGGCAGCTTGAGAAGATAACAGTATTATAATGGAATGTGCAAAGACCTGAAATTAGAAAACCAAAAGGCTCCATGGTCAGCATTTCTCAAGCTGAAAGAACTGCAGAAAAAATTCGAGCTTCAATTTCCAATATTGAATGATTCTATTGGTCAAAGAGTGAATGATTCAGAAAACATCAAAAGAAGATGGAAGAAATATACAAAGTCACTCTACCAAAAATAATTAGTCAATCATTTCAAGAGGTACCATATGATCAAGAATCAATAGTATTAAAGGAAGACATACAAGCTGCACAAAAACAAAACTCCAGAAATCAACAGAATACAAATTGAAAATTTTCAACAAACTGATGCTGCACTGGAGATACTTATCTATGCCAGGAAATTTGGAAGACAGCTAGCTACCTGGCCAACCAACTGAAAGTGATCTATATTTGTGTGCATTGCAAAGAAACGTAATCCAACAAAATCTGGAAAATTATCTAACAATATTATTAACAACACATGCAAGTAAAAATTGCTGAAGGTAATTAAAAAATGGTTGTAGCAATACATCACAAGGAGCTGCCAGAAACTCTAGTCAGATTTAAAAGAGAACATGAAATGTGGGACATCACTGCTAATGTCAGATGGATCTTGGTTTAAAGCAGATGTTTACTGGTCCTTCATTGACTATGAAAAGACATTTGACTATGTGGATCACAACAAGCTATGGGTAACACCCTGAAGAATGGGTATTCTAGAACACTTAATTCTAGAACACTTAATTGTGCTCATGAGGAACCAGAATGCAGACCAAAAGGCAGTCTTCAAAGCAGAACACAGGGACACTGAATGGTTTAAAATCAGGAAAGGTGTGTGTCAGGACTGTATCCTTTCACCATATTTATTCAATCTGTATGCTGAGCACATAATCTCAGAAGATGCACAATATGAAGAAGAATATGGCATCAGGATTGGAGGAAAGCTCATTAACAACCTGAGATATGCACATCATACTCTTTCTTGCTGGAATTGACGACTACTTGAAATACCTATTGATGAAGATCAGACTATTGCCTTCATTATGGATTGCACCTCAATGTAAAGAAAACAAAAAATCCTCACAGCTGAATCAATAAATAGCATTATGGTAAATAGAGAAAAGACTGAAGTTGTCAAATATTTCACAGTAGTTGGATCCACGATCGATGCTCATGGAAGCAGCAGTCAAGAAATCAAAGATGTATTGCATCAGGCAAATCTGCTGCAGAAGACCTCTTTAACACTTTAAAGGTATCATTTTGAGGACTAAGCCATGGTATTTTCAATTGCCTCATATGCATGCACGTTTAATCTGGACAATGAATGTGGAAGACAGGAGAACTAATGCATTTAAATTATGGTGAAGAATATTGAAAGTATCATGGACTGGCAGAAGAACAAATAAATCTATTTTGGAAGAAGTACAGTTGAATTACTCCTTAGGATGATGATGGCAAGACTTTGTCTCTCGTACTTTGAACATGTCAGGAAGGACCAGTCCCTAGAGAAGAGCATGATGTTTCATAAAGTGGAGAGTCAATGAAAAAGAGGAAGACCCCCCAATGAGATGGACTGACACAGTGGCAGTAATAATGGTCTCAAACATAGCAACAATTGTAAGGATGGTGCATTACCCAACAGTGTTTCATTCTGTAGTGCATAGGGTTGCTATGAATCAGAACTGATTTGAAAGAAGCTAACAACTACCAGTTAATCTTTTAAAAATACTGCTGACTATAATGATAGTGAAAATTAATAGCTGATGGTCATCTTCCTCAAGTACACTGAAAATGGTCTTCAGCCTTTCACTCGCCAACACAGATATTTTGATCTGAATATTTTGATGAGGCACCCATTGAAGCCCATTTTGGGAGTTCAAATTGATGGAAAGATTAGCATGTCTGCCTATGTTGTTGTTGTTAAGTGTAATCAAGTTGATAGTGACTCATAGCGACCCTATATATGGTTTCCAATGAGCAGCTCGAGATTTTGAAATGTCAACAACACCAGGATCCAATGGATCTGCTTATACTTGTGAAAAGATACAAGGTGAGTTTGACCTAATTCCCTCTGTTCCTTATCTTAATACAGAGGTTCTTTCCAGATTTATTAGGGAGTCACTGACAGGTTTAAAACAAAAAAAAGGCCACCAGTCTACCCTTTTCTCAGCCAACTCAAGCTCATTTGGACTTCTGTTACTACTGAGTCTCACACCAACTTCCCTAGCCAAAGTCCTGACTTTCTGTTACTCTGAGAACAGCTTTTGTAGAAGGTAAATTGCTTGATTAAAATGCAGGCTCCTCCCCACCCTTTCCCTGACTTTACATTCCTTCCCCTGCCCCCAGGTCAAGACCTAGTGTATCAGAGTCTACTTACATGAGCAAAATCTCAGCTTTAGCATCTGCATTTTAACCAGCTTCCTAGGTTTTATTATGTTCTCTAAAGGTTGAGAATCAGTGACATATAGAACTTACAACCCCACCCACTCACATAGTTACTACATACACAGACACATATACAAACAACTTGTTGGCACATAATAAATGGTTTTTAATGACTGTAGTTTGTTTATACCTTATCAATATTTTGTACATGAAAAATTGTAAAAAGCAATACCATTCTTTGGCTTTTACAATTTTTCATTCTTTTTTTGGTGGTCTCCAAACAGCCTCGTAAATCATTGCAACATTATGATTCCCTGAGAGTGTCACTTATACAAAGATAACAGGGTGAAAGAGCCAGGAGAATTTAAGCACCCAGAAACTCTGGTCAGTTTATAAGCTTTCTCCTTGACAGACAAAGTTTAGCTGTGCAATTCATCTGTGGTTCAAATCTGACCTGTGTGGCAAACACACTGGTTTGAGAGAAAGTGGGTTAGACACAGCATCTCTTTACAACTAGGTAGATGATAGATTTAGCCTGTGTGGTGCTGAAGACAACTCATAAATAACTTATTATTTTTAAAATCTGCATATAGTTGCTATGGCTTGCCCAAGCTTTGTACCAGAACTCTGGGTTCTGATCCATTTGGAAGCAGATACATAAGGAAGAAGTAAGGGAGAGTTAACGATGCTAAGATTGCCTTCTCCTGCCATTTCTTAGTGGTGTCCTCTTTCCATTGCCCAGGGCCTTACCAGGCAGAAGTGGCCAGACCCCTAACTGGTGCTGTTGGGTACCCTTTTCCAGTAAGGTCTGGCCATGAAAGTGAACCACATGAATGTCTCGAGAACTGCCCATGTTCAGCAGATGCAGCCTCACCCACTCTTGCTCATACATCATCAGGCCCGGCAAGTTGTAGATCAGTCCATTAATGGCTGAAAGGACAGAGAGTTACAATCAATGAAAAGCCTGAACATGCTAGGAGAGACGTAAGGAAATATGCAGCATCCCTCTCACCTGTCATCTTGCTTACTAGTCCATGTTCCCAGGCACACGCAGCCATGGAAAGGGTCCCCTACATGCCATAATATAAGTGAGAGGTTGAAACTTAGTCTCCTTATCACCTGGCCCACATCACACACCAGTCTATGGTAGCAGTGTAGGTGAGCTTTGTTTTCAAGGAGATTAACACTGTTTACCCCAGATTTTACACTTCTGTGTTTGACCCATTCTCCCCCCACCACCACCACTAAACACACACATCACATCTATGGTATCAATTTAACCTTGCTACAGAAGATGGGTGGATAAGCAACTCTAAAGGTTAGAGAAAAAAGGATACATAGCATGTCATTCTTCATTCTAAACTCAAACCCAACCCATTGCCAACTCATTCCAACTCATAATGGTCCTACAGGACAGAGTAGAACTGCTCCACAGGGTTTTCCAAACTACAAATCTTTATGGAAGTAGACTGCTTCATCTTTCTCCGAAGGAGCAGTGGGTTGGTGGGTTGGTTAGAACTGCTGATCTTTCAGTTAGCAGTCCAATGCTTCACCCACTGTGTCACTAGAGCTCCTTCATTTTATCCTAAGGCCTCATCAATTCAGAGATGTTGTTATTGTTGTGAAGTGCCATGGAGTTGGTTCTGACTCATAGTGGCCCTGTATAGGGTTTCTGAGAGTGGTTGGTGGGTTTGAACAGCCAACCTGTGGTTCACAGTCCAGTGCTTATCCTACAGTGCCACACCAGAAGTCCACCAACCATAGCGATTTACTTTCTCATTGGAATGGAGTTCCTCTGCACCTTTCTCCCCAGTTTAGATGTCTAGGATTCAGGCTGGTTTTGCTCTCCCCTTAGAGAAATGTGTGCGCCTCTAAAAATCACCTAGTAAACTTGAACATCTCAAAAATGTAATTAAAATGTTCGGTGATAGTACTTAGTGTTGGTGTGGTGCTGCAGGATAAGCACTGGACTGCTAACCTCATGATTCACCATTCAAGCCCATCAGCCACTCTCAGAAATCCTATGAGTTGTAACACAACAGAAACCACAAAAAATTTAACTGGGAGTAAGGTGAGGGAAGATTTATTTGTTTGCTTGTCTCCCCGCCCCCCCTCCTTTATTAAAGGAATTGCTATGGGATTTCAGGAACCAGGCATGTGAAATTTTGGAGAGGAAGGAGTAGGGATAATTTTGGCACCCTTAGCATTATATCATGTAAGGGAACACATCGCTACATAGTCATAACACCAGTCCTTACCCTCTCATCTTATTTTTTGTTTAAGAAATAGATCTCATAAGAGTGAAAGGCATTTCTGGTGATGATTAGGTCATCATTGCTAAACCCTTGTATATAACATAGAAATGAAGACTCTCAGTAACACAGATGCCCAGTAAACATGTGATAAATTGAACTGAGTGAAAAAATTCTGTCATTTATTCATTCATTCAATGTATATACTAAGCACAGACTGCAAAGTCCAACCATTGGATTAGGGGCTGAGAACTCAGGCACTATCCCAGGGGAATTCCCAATTGCATGGGGTTAGGCTACAATACATTTAAACCTAATATGATACAGAATGCATTTTACTCTTTCTTTGAGGAATCCAGAAGCAGTGCCTGCAAATGGCTCTGCTAGGAGACAGCAAGCCTATCTAATTCTGCAGCCTGTGCCTTTCCACTAGATGAAGAGGTTCCCTGAAGGGGATCCTTCCCACTCCTAAAACCAAGCACACTGTCTAGAGAGGCATTGAGGTGATAGGAGAGGAGAGAAGAAAGTGCTTCTTGGAGTCTGTTGTTGTCAAACTGTCTAAATGGTTCTTCTCCAGATGGTTTAATATAACTGTGTAACCTTTGTGTTAAGCTGGGTTATCTTGTTTGTTATTGTTGGTAAGTGCTCTAGATTTGGTTCTGACCCATAGCGATCCCGTATAGGGTTTCCAAGGAGTGGCTGGTGAACTTCAATTGCCAATCTTGTGGTTCAAGCCAACCTTGCAGTCCAATGCAATAATGCCACACCAGGACTCCTTAGTGGGTAGGATGACAAGCCTTGTGATCTACTTCAGAAAAATCAGTCAATGAAAACCCTATAGATCATAACTATCCAGTCCCCTTATGCATAGGGTCACTATGAGACTGGAACCAGCTTGCTGGCAGGTAAGAAGAGCAACAGCATTGTTAGAGGATAGGGTCCTGATGCATATCATAAATCATATTGTTTATCCTCCTCTGTCTTCTAAGTGGAGTCCTGGTGTAGCACTGTGGGTTAATGTGCCAGACTGCAAAGTCATTTGAACTGCAAATTCAGTGGTTCAAGCTCACAAGCTGCTCCTTGGAAACCCTATACAGGGTCACTATGAGTGGGAAACAACTCAATGGCACTTAACAACAACAATCCTTTAAGTACTTTTATAGGTGATTGTTGTTGTTAAGTGCCATGGAGTCAGTTCTGACTCATAGCGACCCTATCCAAGGAGAGCCAGGTGAATTTGAACCACCAACTTTGCGGTTCAAACCAACCTTGCAGTCTAGTGCGTTATCCCACAGCGCTACACCAAGACAGTTGATATAAGATTGTAAAACAAGCCCTGGTAGTGAAGTGGTTACGAGTTGGTCTGCTAACAGCAAAATCAGCAGTTTGAATCTACCAGTCGGTCCTCAGGCGAAAGATGAAGCTTTTTGCTCCTGTGGCACTATAGGATAAACACTTGACTGTAAGGTCAGTTTGAACAGCAAGGTCAGTGTCTCAACTCCACCACTTGCCAGGTTTCAACAGCCCTCTTTCTGAGATGTTTAAGGAATTACTTTCAGTTGTACTTCCTGGCTTCTCAATAGAATCTCGAGCTTAGTCTGCTGAGGACCTAAGGGCAGGAGTCACTGTGACTCAGTCTACTTTAATTTAGAGATTAAATCAAAATCAGAGGAAAAATACCAGGAAACTCATGGGCGTTTTTTACTTCTGAGGATGTGAGTATCCAAGATCTTTTGGGCTTTGTTTCATAGTACCAGCTCTTCTTTTCATCAAAGATCATAAAAAGTAAGACAAATTCTCTCATGTCCAAAGGCAAGTTGCTTTGTTTGTGAAGTGTTCCTTTTTTACAGATCAGCAGGGGACCGATCAAGCCTGAATGGATATCCTTTTCCTAGAAGACAATAAGAGCAAGTTGTATGCATTCCCTCAAGGCCTCCTTTATTCTTCTGACAATCACTGATCATACAGACAGGGAAGTCTTCTCACACCGAAAACCCACTGAAGTTGGTTGAGTCGATTCTGACTCTTTGTTAAGAGTCAGTTGACTCAGTTTCAACTCATAGCGACCTACATAGGGTTTCTAAGGAGCAGCTGGTGAGTTTGAACCACAGACCTTGCAGTTAGAAGTCCAGTGCTTATCTACAGTGCCACAAAAGCCTCTGAATTTGAAGATTTTAAAGAAATAATTTGATAGGTTTAGATATTTGTCATTTAATTCTGTTGTATTCATATTTCCTTTCTCTGATTAATGCTTTATTCCAAAATAGTAGCGATGATGATGATATTGACAATTATAGAATAGTTTCTATGTATTGAGCATCTACTAGTATGCAAAATGGTTTGATTATAGTATCTCATTCCTGATACCAATCCTTTATTAAACAAATATTTATCATGTAGCTATTATACACTACACATGGTTTTCTTATTTTTAATAGGTAACCATGGTTGAGAGAAGTTCAAATAACTTTTCTAGTTCACACAGTAAAAGGTCAGGGCAGGAATATAAATCTAAGTCTATTGTTCTCTCTCCTATGCCTGAAATAAAGGAGTCTTGACATTGCATTTTCTTCATAAAAAGTAGAAGAAAGTTATTACTCATTGAAGGAAATTATAGGTTAACATTTTCCTTTGAAATAAGTTGTTGTTATCATGTGCTGTCGAGTCATTTCCAACTCATTGCGATCCTGTATAGAGCTTCCAAGGAGCAGCTGGTGGGTTTGAACTGCCGAGCTCGTGGTTCAAAGCCCAGTGCTAATCCTATAGCACTACCCTGGGAGTCACTCTAAATTGGGGCCAATCATTTAAATAATCCTCCTTCCTCTCCACTGAATAACTCTTTCCTTTTCTCTGCTCTCTGAAGGGCTGCATGCTGCATTCCTGATTATGGTAGTTGTAAACTATTGACCACAGTCCTTACACATTCCTCATCAAGACCTCAGACACTTATCAAGAAATAGCTTTGACTTTGCCATTGGGTGGACTCAGGCTATAAAGTTAGAGGAATGATCGAAAACTTTGAGGATGTACCTACCGGGTTCACGGCTGAGTAGTAGGCCCATGCCCGACAGACCGAGCCAAGATTTTCTGGCCCCGATTTCTCAGTGGCATGCCATACATACGTATAAGTATTGTTTGGCTGAACAGCATTATCTTCCTGAAACCATTCAGGTGAGTCATCATCGTAAGTCTTTCCCTCTGATGACTTTTCATAGGAAAGTCCATGAGTATGAAGAGAATATGGTCTGGATGCTAAATTTTTAAAACGAACCTAGAAAAAGGAATGATCTGCAAATGTATGTAAGGTTAACAAAAATACAAACTGAAAAATGTCAGTGTTATAGGTCAACCAACCAACTAGTCAACAGTTGTTAAGTCAATTCCAATTCAAGGTGACACAATTTGTTTCAAAGTAGAACTGCAAGGAGGGTTTTCAAGGACTGTAACCTTTGGGAAGTAGATGGCTAGAATGTTCTTCTGAGGCTACTCTGGGTGGATTTGAACTGCCAATCTTTTGATTAGTATCTGAGTACTTAATTTTAGGCCAAAGTGGATGGCTATTAAACCAGCAGCACTTAACAATAATAATAAAATAGACTGAGTGCTAACAACTGCAAAGTAACAACAGATATTGTTATTCTTTAGTGCTGTGGAGTAGGTCCCGAGCCATAGCGACCCTGTATAGGGTTTTCAAGGAGCAGCTGGTGAGCTTGAACCACTGACCTTGCTGATCAAACTGACTTTGCAGTCCAGAGCATTAACCCACAGCACCACAACAGGTCTCCAATAATATATATTATATTACTTCATTTAATTTTCACAAGTATCCTATGAACAAGACATGTTTGTTCTTAGGCTCAAGGCTAAAGTATTGACATTACTTACAAATAAAATGATGGTACTAAGTGCTGGGGAATCAAAAATGAATGAGGTTCAGTCCTTGCTTGTGATAAGTTTTCAAACTACTGGTGAAGAGAGACATGCATATACCTATATACCAGCTACACTATAAAGTTCTCTCAGGAGAAATGACATTTGGGTTGGCTCTTGACAAATGAAGAAAAGCTCAGTAAGTAGTGCAAGAAAGAGGAGAAATAGATTTCAGGTTCCCAGAAGAAAAGGAACATGCCAAAAGGAGAGGAGGGACAGTAAGGATATAGGGATGACTGTGTTGTAGTGTGCACAGGGATGGGGTGGAACCTGCTGATACAAAGAATTGGAATAGGAACTTGGGACTAGATGGTAAAACCAGTTACTGTTAAGTTGATTCTGACTCATGGCAGCCCTGTGGGTGCAGAGTAGAAATGCTATCCATGGGGCTTTCAGGCCGTGATCTTTCAGAAGCGGATTGTCAAGCTGTTTTTTGAAATACCTCTGGTTGGGTTCGAGCTGTCCACCTTCAATTAGTAGTTGAATACTTAGCCATTTGTGCCACCCTGGAAAAGGAGCTAAATAACAAAAATCTCAAACCCATTGCTGTCAAGTTGATTCCATAGGGTTTCTGAAGCTGTAATGCTTTACCAAAGCAGATGACCTCATCGTTCTCCCTCAGAGTAGCTCATCATGGATTCAAACTTTTTGGTTAGCAACCCAAAGCTTAACCCACTGTGTAGTGGCTGCTGTTAAGTGCATTGAGTCAGTTCCGACTCATAGAAATCTAGGACAGGGTTTCCGAGGAATGGAATCTCACATATAGGCTGTGGGCTTGAACCACCAATCCTGGAGTTAGCAGTCCATGCTTATGCTACAGCACCACGGCAGCACTCCAGGACCTTAAATGCCAAATGGGGAGTCTTTGCACTCCCAGCCCAGGTGAGACCCATGGAGGGTAGGTACTCCTCCTGGATCTTCTCTGCTACAGCCTCTAATGATGAAAATTCCCCTAGCCTGAAGAGTCCTGCTGTGGTGTTGTAGGATACGCACTGGACTTCTAGCCTCAAGCTCACCAGTTCAAGTACATCAGCTGCTTCTCAGAAACCCTGAACTGGATTTCTAAGTGTTGGAACCAATTTGATGACACTTAACGACAACAGTAATCTGAAGAGAAAAGATTATTGCTTTCCATGTCTCTATGGTATGTTTAGTATAATTTAGATCGACTTGCCTTTTTACATTTTTAAAGGAGCAAATATTTGCTGAAAATTCTAGTGATGCTTAAACAAAAATAGAAGTTTATGTTCTTGGATCTAGAATACTGTAGAGTCAGCCTTTTTTTGTAAGTGAGAAGCTAGATAGGATGTGGGGATGTGGGGAACAAACTCTGTGATAAAAGCAAGCCTAGGATTTTGAAGAAAATAGACATGATTGGGAATACCTTGGAAACTTACTTTTGGGGTTTATTATTTTCATTTGAAGGCATGGAGACATTTTTACTTCCCTAATTCTCTAATTTACTTTAACTTCATTTTCTTTTTTAAGAAAATGTTATCACCTCTACCACTACTGCAGCCATTATTATGAAATCCAATCAACTCATTCTTGAACATATAATTTTTTTTCCCCTTTTAACTGTAGATAGGCATTGCAGTGTAATTTTCTCCATGTTATATAGTTTTTAGAGTTTGGGGTTGTTTTTAAAAATTATTTTTGTCATGAAGATTGCCAATTGATTAGCAAAGAGTCTTAGAGAAAATGTAATTATTGTTAATACTGAATTATTTTACTTTTTGTGAATTATTTTATTTTGCTGAATTAATTAATACTGAATGTAATTATTGTTAATACTGAAAAATAAATCAAGGCTCTAGTCAGAATGGGTAAAAAATGTAGAACAAAATTTAAAGTGAGAAAAACAACAACCAAAAAAACAGATTTACTAGTCTGAAAGAGAGGCAGGAAGTAAACAGGAAAACCTAATGAAGGGAAATGGAGAACCAGGGAGGAAAAGGGGAGAGGATAGGGATGGCAACCAATGGCATGGAACAATTTGTGGATGAATTATTGATTGGAAAATGAATTTGCTATATAAATTTTCATTTAAAGCACAATAAAAATTTCAAATAAATCAGCAATCACGCTCTTTCTACCTTCACCTTTATAACATTCTGGTGGTTTGGGAAATTCCTCCAATGTTCATAAGATGACTTACTTGGATAACATCACCCACTTCAGCTCTGATAACAGGACCAAGAATCCCCAGGTGCTCTTCATACTCCCCCTGAGGATCACGCATGGTAAAAGTGCTGTCAACGTATTTTCGAAAAACGACTTTCTTGTATATGGTGTCCTCAGGAGCTTCATCCTCATCTTCACTATCCACTTCACTGTGAGGAAAATAATAGTGTTTGTTTAAAAGAAAACACTAAAGACTTCAAATTTAAGAAATTGTCTCTATTTCTGAAAAATAGTGCCTAACAATAGATAAGGTTTTTAATAAATACGGGATGAACAAATGGATAAATAAAAGCACAAGCCAGAAACTATTCTTCAGTTTCCAGCTCAATGCCATTTCTTAGGTAATTCCTCCTATGATACTTTAGACCACGTCAGATTTCCCTGTGTCATTCCTTACATTTCTACAGTATTACTATAGTGTGTGTGTGTGTGTGTGTGTGTGTGTATAAAACAGTCTCTGTGTCTATTGGGTGACTAGTCCAGCACTTATCCTACAGCACCACACCAGGGCTCACATATAATATGTATGCACATATACATAGGATTTCTGGTGTGGCACTATAGGATAAGCACTGGACTGCTAATTGCAAGGTCAGTGGTTCAAAACCACCAACTGCTCCTCAGAAACACTATACAGAGTTGCTATGAGTCAGAACTGATTTAATGGTACTTAACAACAACAACAACTATATATTGTTAAGTGCTGTCAAGTCCATTCTGACTCATAGCAACCCTGTATAGGATTTCCAAGGAGTGACTGGTGGGTTTGAACCACCAACCTTGCAATTAGCATTCCAGTGCTTATCCTACAGCACCACACCAGGACTCTCTCTATATATATCTATAGCTACGTCTACCTCTATCTATGGTGGTGGTGTGCCATGGAGTCAGTTCCGACTCATAGCAACCCTGCATAGGGTTTCTGAGGCTATAAATTTTTATGGGTGCAGACAGCCTTTGTCCCTTGGAACAGCTAGTAGTTTCAAACTTCTGGCTGACTCATAACCACTACGATTAGCAGTCCGACTCATAACCACTACGTTACCAGAGGTCCTTACTAATCTCTCTTTCTCTTTCTCTCAATCTTTCTGTTGTTAAAGTGCCATCGAGTCAATTCTTACTCATAGGGATCCTCTATAGGGTCTCCTAGAAGCAGCTGGTGGGCTTGAACAGCTGACATTGTGGTTCACAGTCCAGTGCTGATCCCACAGCACCACACTAGGAGTCTATATATATATATATGTTGTTGTTTAAGTACTGTCAAGTCAGTTCTGACTCATGGTGATCCTGTATAGGGTTTCCAAGAGGTGGCTGGTAAGTTCAAACTGCTGACCTTAAGGTTCAAACAGACCTTGGGATCTAGTATTTATCCTACAATTCCACAAGTTGTTGTTTTATATATATAACACAATGCACACACTTTTTTCTATGTAGAGATAACCAACATTCTAATGGTAATCCTATAGTATATATAATGAATTATGTTGTTAAGTGCTGTGAAGTTGGTTCTGACCCATAAGGGTCAGTATAGACCTCAGAAACCCTGTATAGGGTTTCTGAGGAGCAGCTGGTGAGCTTGAACCACCGACCTTGCAGTTCAAACGCCTTTGCAGTCTGACACATTACCCCACAGCACCACACCACACCAATACTACATAATGAATTATAGTACACACAATATACTATAATTTTTGTTGTTAAGTGCTGTCATGTTGGTTCCAACTCATAGTGACCCTGTATAGGGTTTCTGAGGAGCATCTGGTGAGCTTGAACTGCTGACCTTGTGGTTCAAACCAACTTTGCAGTCCAGCACATAACTCATAGTGCCATACCATACTGTATATTACAGTGTATTATATATTTAAACACTTAAAACAACAACAATAATATATTTGGTCTACTTCTGAATATTTAGTCACTGAAAACCTTATGAAAAGTGCTGGAACATGGTCAGCATCAGAATATTGAATATTGAAATATAATGAAGAGGACCATATTGTCAGATACAGTGTGGGAAAATGAGCCCCTCGGGTTGGAAGGCACTCAAAATAAGACTGGGGAAGAGCAGTCTCCTCAAAGTAGAGCTGACTGTGATAAAACAAATGGAGAAAAGCCTTCTGGACCTTCATTTGCTGATAGGGAACAACTCAAAATGAAGAGAAATGGCTGTGAACATCCATTAATAATTGGATCATAGATTGTATGAAGTATGACTCTAGGGAAATTGTAAAAAATGAAATGGAACACATAGTCATTAGTGAGCTGAAATGGACTATTGAATCTGACAATCACATGGTTTACTATGCTGGGAATAACAAATTGAAAAGGAATGGCATCACATTCATCATGAAAAGAGCATATCTAGATCTGTTGTGAAGTACAACACTGTCTGTGATAGGGTAATATCCATACAACCTACAAGGAAAATCAGTTGATACAAGTATTACTAAAATACATGTACCACCCACTAAAGCCAGTGAGGATAAAATTAAAGAATTCTACCAACTTCTTCAGTCTGATATTGATCAAACATGCAACCAAGATGTATTGATAATTACTGGCTATTGGAATGCAAAAGTTGGAAACAAAGAGGAAGGATCAGTAATTGGAAAATATGGCCTTGGTAAAAATGATGCTGGAGATCACATGATAGAATTTTGCAAGACCAATGATTTCTCCATCACAAATACCTTTTTAAAACAACACAAAAGGCAATTATACACATGGACCTCACCAGATGGAATAAACAGAAACCAAATTAACTACATCCATGGAAAGAGACAGTGGAAAAGCACCATATCACGAGTCAAAACAAGGCCAGGGGCAGACTGTGGAATAGACTGTCAATTGCTCATATGCAAGATCAGAGAGAAGCTGAAAAAAATTAAACAAGTACACAAGAGTCAAAATATGACCTTAAACATATTCCACCTGAATTTAGAGACCATCTGAAGTACAGGTTTGATGCATTAGACACTAAAGATTGAAGACCAGAAGAATTGTGGGATGACATCAAGAATATCACACAGAAAGAAAGCAAAAGGTCATTAAGAAGACAAGAAAGACTGATGAAGATCAAAGACAGTCTTCAGGATGTATTGCACCTCATTGTAAAGAAAACAGAAATTCCCACAACTGGACCAATAAATAGCATGGATAAATGGGGGAAAGAATGAAGCTGTCAAAGATTTCATTTTGCTTGGATTCATTATCAACACTAATGGAAGCAGCAGTCAAGAAACCAAACAATGTCTTCTGCCTATAACTGATTGGAATACCTAAAATGGGGCTACAACATGCCCAGTGAAGGAGGCTTCCTGCAGAGCCTCTGCATTACATAAGACTATAGGTGGAAGCCTGAACCACATCCAGATCTTCAGAGATGGGAAATTTCCACTTGAAAGGACGGGAAGACCAGGCTGGAACAGTTAGAAGAACAGAAGACACTTCTCGAAAGAAACACCTACAGGAAAAATACAAAATATAGGTAGACTGACTATTACTACAAGAACAAGCAAGTTGCTTGCCTAGTAGACATCAAAGCAAGTGGTCGGATCCTCTCAGTGCAAACCCCTTTCCAAGACTAAGACTCAATGGGAATACACGCTCTGATTGGTGACCACGTTCGTCACCAATAAGGGGAAGTGAGAGAAAAACAGCAATGAAGCTGCAAGCTAAGCCCTACAATGTTCAATAGACTCCTGTGAACCTGGGTAGAGACCCGTTTGGCCAGCAGTGTGGCAAGACCTGGGGACTCTTGGTCCCAAAGTCAGTCACATAGCCAAAGAGGACTAGAATGGAGAGTGAAGCATCCAGCTGATAAGAAGAGAGGGCATATGCACAAGAACACCCACACTTGCAGATAATACCCACTTGACCTGGCTTCAATGACTGGATGATCAGAGCTCAACCAGAAGAAGAAAGAGGAGGAAAAAAAGAGTAATCTGATACAATTTAATGAACTTGACTTACACCTATGGATGCTGGAGCTCAAAAGAGGGAACAAACCTTTACAGCAAGAATCATTCCCACCCCCTCCATATACAGAGTAGACAGGGTTGGGCAACTTGGACATTGGCTACCCAAAATGGGGGAGGCTACAAAGGCAAGAAGTGACTGCTTACAAGCTTTCAAGAGGGAGCCTAGATCCAGAGATTCTACATTCCTAGGTATCCAATCTGAGTAGTATCCTATCTGTCTAGGCGGGGCTAATGAAAGGAAATACAGATAGGTCTCTTGTGATACAATAGTGAATAATGGTTATCAGGACTGATTGTGAGGGTTTTATAACAAGGAGGGGAGTGATTAACTTTTCAGTCAGGAGTGGAGTTTCCTAGAACCATGAAGGGAGAAGAGTGGAGAGCGGGACCCTACCCAGAGAAGCAGTGATGCCAGAGATGGAGGCAGAGATGATGACGTGGAGAGATGGAGCAGCTGGGAACTTTAGACACAGAGAGGGAGAGGGGCTGTGTGCTGACGACTGGTGGGCAGGCTTATAGTGTATACCCTTCGGTTGGATGATGATGCAAGGAGGGGATCATAACCATGGCAATGAAACAATTTATGATAGGATGAATGTAAAACTAATGTTCTCCCATGTAAACTATCACATAATTCACAATAAAACATTAACAGAAAAAAAAAAGAAACCAAACAATGTATTACATTAGGCAAATCTGCTGCACATGACATCTTTAGAGTGTTTAAGAGCAAAGAGGTCAGTAAGCCATGGTAGTTTCAATCACATCATAAGCATGTAAAAGTTGGATGATGAATAAGGAAGACCATAGAATAATCAATTTATTTTGATTATATTATAAGTGTTGGAAAACAATATTAAAAATACTGTGGACTGCCAGAAGAACAAACAAATCTGCATTGGAAGACGTACAGTCAAAGAGCTCCTTATAATCAAGAATGGCAAGATTTCATCTTCACACTTCGGACTGTTATAATGAGGGCCCAATCCATGGTGAAGGACATCATGCTTGGTAAAGTAGAGAATGATTCCCAATGAAATGGATTGACACAGAGTAGAGGCAATGGCTCAATCACAGCAACAATTGTAAGGCTGGCACAGGACGAGACAGTGTTTCATTCTGTTGTGTATGGAGTTGCCAATAGTAGGAACTGACTGACTGTATGACAC